GTTTCCAGGGTGTGTTGTATCAGATTGTTGGTGGCAGGATGTAAAATGTTGTCTGTTACGTTTCCAGGGTGTGTTGTATCAGATTGTTGGTGGCAGGATGTAAAATGTTGTCTGTTATGTTTCCAGGGTGTGTTGTCACAGATCTATGGCACTACATTGATGGAGAAGCTGCAAAGCTGCTGGATCCAGATGCAGAACCATGCAAATTCGGTCCTGGACTGTGAACTTGACAAACTGGCCAAGGAAAAATGTCCAGGTGTCAAACAGGTACGGTGCTAATGAAAACTTCCTATGTTTTAAACAGAGTACTTAATGGGAATAGATGTAAACAGAGTACTTAATGGGAATAGATGTAAACAGAGTACTTAATGGGAATAGATGTAAACAGAGTACTTAATGGGAATAGATGTAAACAGAGTACTTAATGGGAATAGATGTAAACAGAGTACTTAATGGGAATAGATGTAAACAGAGTACTTAATGGGAATAGATGTAAACAGAGTACTTAATGGGAATAGATGTAAACAGAGTACTTAATGGGAATAGATGTAAACAGAGTACTTAATGGGAATAGATGTAAACAGAGTACTTAATGGGAATAGATGTAAACAGAGTACTTAATGGGAATAGATGTAAACAGAGTACTTAATGGGAATAGATGTAAACAGAGTACTTAATGGGAATAGATGTAAACAGAGTACTTAATGGGAATAGATGTAAACAGAGTACTTAATGGGAATAGATGTAAACAGAGTACTTAATGGGAATAGATGTAAACAGAGTACTTAATGGGAATAGATGTAAACAGAGTACTTAATGGGAATAGATGTAAACAGAGTACTTAATGGGAATAGATGTAAACAGAGTACTTAATGGGAATAGATGTAAACAGAGTACTTAATGGGAATAGATGTAAACAGAGTACTTAATGGGAATAGATGTAAACAGAGTACTTAATGGGAATAGATGTAAACAGAGTACTTAATGGGAATAGATGTAAACAGAGTACTTAATGAGAATAGATGTAAACAGAGTACTTAATGGGAATAGATGTAAACAGAGTACTTAATGGGAATAGTTGTAAACAGAGTACTTAATGGGAATAGATGTAGTAGAACATTAAAACATTTGAAGGGACATATGGAATAAATTTGCCTGTGATTTTAATGCATCGTATTGACATGTTCTAATGTTTACTAGAATTGAACTTGCTGTTCATTGGATTATTTGTAGTTATTAGAAAAAAAAGAAGGCCTGTTCAGAAAAAATATGATGGGAAAGCGAGTGAACTATGCTGCCAGATCAGTTATCTCCCCTGACCCCTGTATCAACACAAATGAAATCGGTGTTCCTGAGGTTTTTGCTAAGAAGCTGACCTACGCTCAGCCTGTTACGCCATGGAATATCCAAGAGCTGCGCCAGATGGTTATCAATGGACCAAACGTCCATCCTGGGTAAGTGTTACTTGATAAATATTGTACAATAGTTATACCAAACAAAGGTATGTTGGGGCTATACTAGAATCAGGGAAACTTTCATTGTCATGGAAGCAAGCAGACTATGTATACAGGCCAGCAATTCTAACTATTTGATTAGGGGAAACTTCAGTCGAATGAAACATTTGTTCAGGAGACACGGTAGTCTTGTGGACAGATGTCGGGCTCCTGGCCGAAGGGTTGCGGGTTCAAGTCAAGGCTCCGCACTGTGTTGCATCTTTTAGCAGATCTTTCTCATATTGCAATGATTGATTCTATTTCTTTCACATTAAATGCTGTACTAGTAATTACGTGAAATGACAAACTCACTTTGAAGGTTGGCTTTCATACACATCAGTATTAAGTTTAGATCAAAAGTTACCTCAAGGTGCATTTACTGTTAACATGACTTGATCAAACAGTTTAGAGGAAAGAAGAGAAAAGATCGAACTGACAAAGAACTAATGAAGAGTTTACAGTGGTGGGTGCCAAGATCCCTCTGGGATCTCTTGTATAAGAAAATGATACATTTGGGTATGTTTTGTTCATTTTCAATTGGAAATAATTCAAACATGATTTAAATTATAACCCTGAGATGACAATTTGACACTATGAAAATTTCGAGCTTGGCCCAACTGAAGGGGCTGAGGGTTGGGCCCAAAAGGGTGAAATTGGCTTAAATTTCACCAATTTCTTCCTCAGACCCAGTTGTGCTGGAAACAAATACTCTTTATACATGGAAGGGTCTTGAGGTACTTTATCAAAACTGTGAATTTCATTACCCACAGGTCAAACGTTTGCCCCTAGGGAATAAAACTCAATATATATAAACCACGCAAAGCAGAGACTGGCATTTCATTTGTCAATATCCGGTATTATTTGACAGCCTGAGGAGTGTGTTATACAATTGGCGTGCGTCAGTCAGTTCACGCAGGAAATACCAATTGGCATGCATCAGTCAGTTCACACAGGAAATATCAATTAGCATGCGGCAGTCAATTCACAAGGAAATATCAATTAGCATGCGGCAGTCAGTTCACAAGGAAATATCAATTAGCATGCAGTCAGTCAGTTCACGCAGGAAATATATATATATAGGACTTTGTGAAAAACAATATCTGTTTGTACTGGGTACTTGCTTTACCAAATTCTTCTCAAAAACATGTTTATGAAACCTATGTCCCGTGTTTCAAGTTTTATCCTATACCATTGACTTCATACAATTACAAAGGACCATAATATCTCGGACATATTTGAAATAGCATGTAGACGTTATGGTTAAGAAACATCAGGATACCTACAGACAAAAAATAACTTTCAAGTTCTTGGGGCTGTAACGCTGTTAAAAGGGCAACAATGAACTGAATTAAACTGGATAAGTACCACGTTATTACACATTGGTGATGATATTCACGTCTCCTAATCACCCTTGCTGGTAATTGATTTAATACCACAAAAGCAACAAAATATAACAATCATTTTATATTTTTTGGCGCGACGTCCGACGTCAATATTTTACTTTAAACGACTTCTTCTTAATAACCGAAAGGCCTAGGGTGTCGATATTTGGCCAGAAGCAAATTGGGATGAAGGGCTACAAAGTTTGTTAAAATTAATGACCTTTACCCATTTTCAAGGTCACAGGGGTCAGATATGTTAAAAACTTTAAACATCTTCTTCTCGATAACCAAACTTCCCAGGGAGATGATATTTGGCCAGTAGCATGCTTGGGTGAAGGGCTACCAAGTTTGTTCAAATGAATGAC